CTGTGGATCTTGGGACATGCCCATACCATTTAATTTTCGTCTCTTCACTGTGGTCAGTAGATTTTCATACTGCCCCACTGCGTTGGTGATTCTCTTTCGTACCTCAGCATTTGAAACGTGGTCTTTGTACGAGATGTCAAGGAGTCTGCGGTAACATCTCATCTCTGTGGTCTGAATCTTTTTCTCCAATTCTGCTGTTAGTGTCCACGACTCGCAGGCGTATAAAAATATTGAGATGACCTGTGAGTGCATTAGTCTGATTTTTGAGTTGTGCACGATGTTTCTGTCCCCCCAAATAGGCTTCAGATTTGACAGCGCAGCTGTTGTTTGCGCGATTCTGGAGAGAATTTCTGGTCTTGAGCCTACATCTGAGACGATTGATCCAAGGTGTTTGAAGCTGTTGACGGTCTCAAGTTTCTCGTCCCTGACTTTGAAGTCCGCGTTGATGCAATTGGTGTTATTGATCATTAGCTTGGTTTTCTCGGCACTGATCTCCATGCTGTAGGCTGCTGAGGTTGGGTCCAGCCGCTCGACTAGTGTGGCGAGCTCCTGTTCTTCTCCTGCTAATCCATCGATGTCATCGGCAAAACGCAAGTTAGTGATTGGCCTGCCTCCAATACTGATTGTTCCATTGTGGTCTTCCAGAGTGTCAGTCATGATTCGTTCTAGGAAGATGTTGAAGAGAGTGGGAGAGAGCAAATAGCCTTGCCTCACCCCAACCGTTGTCCTGAACCAATCCCCCATGCCGCCGTTAAGGTAGACTGCGCTGGAGGCTTTGTCGTATAGTTGTTGTATGACGTTGATCAGGTTGGCGTTGATGTTATATTTCCTCATGGTCGCCCATAAGGCTGCATACCAGACCCTATCGAAGGCCTTTTTAAAATCCACGACAATAAACTTAAATAATACAAAAAATAATTACTCCCGTTCAGAACCACAATTTTTTTGACAAACATGCCATTGCTGATCGCCACTGTGCGGCGCCCCGTTTTTTAAAGTAGGGTTACCGTGTCTTGTTCAAGGACCCCCCCCCCCCCCCCAATGACCACCCATTTACCAACCTCGTGTCCCACCAGCCGACATTTGCCTGGCATTAATTTTGAGTCTAAACTCGCTACTCACTCGGCCAAAAGAGATACCTAGAACAACTGGAGGTGTCATCTCGGACTCACGAGGTTGACGCGTAATGATCCTCCATCCTTCACGGTCGCGAGCTACTGTTGCACATTCTGCTATAGCCAGGCCAGTCCATGTTTTCATGTTGTCCATCCCAGTTACTCTTTGTCTTCCCCTGGCTCTCCTGCCCCACACCTTTCCTTCAAGCACCTCTTTCACAACGGTCTGTTGTCGTTTTAAGTAACTCATTAATACTGTTTAAGGACACCTTTGAGAGAGAGAGAGAGAGAGAGAGAGAGAGAGAGAGAGAGAGAGAGAGAGAGAGAGAGAGAACGAGAGAGGGAGGGAGGGAGGGAGGGAGAGAGAGAGAGAGAGAGAGAGAGAGAGAGAGAGAGAGAGAGAGAGAGAGAGAGAGAGAGAGAGAGAGGGGGGGAGGCAGACAGACAAACAGAAAGAGACAGACAGACAGAGTGGGAGAGAGAAAGAGAGAGAAAGAAAGAAATGTGAAATGTGAAATGGTATAGGTTTAACGCCCCTATCAACACTATTGGGTTATTTAAGAGGCGGGGCCTCCGAGTTTAACGTCCGTCTCCGAAAGGACCGAGCCAAATGGGAAATTCGTGTAAAGTGCCTTTCCCAGGGACACAACGTCGGGTTGAGCTGACGCTCGAACCCCTGAACTCACAATCTCACGATTACGAGTCCGCCTGCCTAACCACTAGACCACCGACGCAACACAGTTGAGAGTTGGTTTCAGTAAGTGTTTTACGGAGCTCGCAACTGCATAAGGTCATATGAGTGCCAGACGATTAGAGGTGTTACAAGAGAGTAACAAACACAAAAAAGAAGGACGGGGGATGGAGACGATAGAATTTTTTATAGGAAAGAAGGAGCAAACCACACCAGAGCACCCGCCAACCACCCACACACAGCTGGGAATTTCTCAACAAAACACCAAAAGCACTAAAGTGACCCCTTCTCTTTATAACTTCGTTCATACGTCTCTTTTGCACTGACAGACGCACCACACCTGGAACGCCGAATCGTTTTGGCATCCGCTCTCTTTGGAACGTTTCATCACTCGCAGTTATTACAAAAATCCATAGACTTGTATCATAATAACCTAGATCATGCACTCTAACCTACTTCCGGTTCATCATGGACTGCGTGCACCAAATGACCGTAGTTTGAACCAAATGAAGGGCAAAGAGTCAACTGTTCCGCGTGCACTATAGCAAGATTGGTGTTACGCACTCTATTTGCTCGCACATGATAATATTAATATTAATAATATTAATAATAATAATAAAAAT